TAAACAACTGCACACCTACCCCTCTCATACCCCAACATTATTAGTTGACTATTGTTGGGTTAGGGGAGGGGTAGGTGCACAGTGGCTAAAGTACTGACATTAATCCAATTTTCACTAAAACACAAGCACAGGCTAACATAGACAAGTGCACCAGGATGCTGATCACCTCAATTCCTTTGTTTGACAAGATCCTTACAAAAGACACCAATGATCAAATCTGCGTCTATGCATATCAGCTGAGGGTTTCACTTGTGCTTTAGTTTAAAAAGGCCCCCCACTTGCTTACGATTAGATACTTGAACTTTTGACCTATACTCCTGTATCCTAAAGTCTGGTCAGAAACTCAAGACCACTTCAGTTTAATGAAAATGGAAATTTCGAAGGCCACTCCGATGTGAGGGCCACTGTGGCTTGGGTCAGATAAATCATGCTAGCATAATTATATGCATAATGCTTTAGTCAGAGCATCATGCATAATACTGGCATAATGGCTAAACTTCTTGAAAATTTTCTTGATAATGCTGTGTTTCCATGGTGATGCTGAAAAGCATTATGTTCAAATTTTTTTAGCATAATTTAAGTGACCCTACCAATGGCAATAGGCCAAGCCATTGTCATGGAATGACAAGTCAAATGTGTTTCAATGAACGCTAAACAATAACACCTAGTGCCATACAAGAGGGTGGTCGATATGGAGGGGGTGGGTCACCAGCTCTGACACTTTCATTATCATCAAGAACTGCGCTGTATGGTGGAGGGGCAACATTCCCCTCAAAGAATCCAGAGACAGTCTGCCGTGCACCCTGGATAACAACATGTCCTCTATGATTGCGATGATGGTGGTGCCTTCTCGTTCTGTATCTGCGATTTTGTGTTCTGATATGTATTCTTGTTGGAGCTCTTGTCACAATTGAGTTCCTTTGACGTTTTGAGAGTGTTGTATGCCGTACAATGCTGAAGACAACCAGTACCACAAGAAACATGCATGTACACACAGTTGCAACAACAACAAAAGTATATGGAAGATGTTCACTTCGTGGTTCTGATTTACTCTCTGAAGGTTTCATTGTCACATTCATCTTCACAACTGGAACAGATTTTCCTAAGAGGCCATGTTGTGAAAAAAAAATTTAAAACACATGTAAGATAAATAAACAACACATATATGTCAGCTAAATGTAGAGCATAAATTTCTAATTTTCTGGAACAAGGAAAGTACTTTACTTTAGTTTCATCTAGCCATGGAAAGAGATTGACAAGCAAATGTAATGAATAATAATTGAATCATTTTTAAATGTTAAGGCCGATGATCAATAAGAAAATGTTTAATTCAATGGTAATTCTAATGATTTAAAAGCAGACCAGACTTTGCAACAACTCTTCTTCAAAGTAAATATTCTCATTAAGTATAATCTAATTATTTTCTAAACTTTCATACCACCTTGAAAACATCTAACCCATAAAACATCTGTAGATTCAAAATTAGAAAAAAAACTTAAAAGTTTCACAATAGCTAAACATAACTAATTAAATTAAAACAATCTTGTAAACAGACCTGTTTTAGGAGTTTTAACAGCTTGAGGAGTACTAACTGGCTTTTGAGAATTATCTGAAGCAAAATAGAAATTAAAAACTTTTTTGCATATCAGTAATTCTTATTTTTCAACTGTTTGTGGTTCGCATCCTTTTACATCTTCCTTGTTGGTGTATCCCCTCCAGTGTCTACCTACTCTCGCAAACTCGTGGGCATCCTTACAATAAACGACAACTTTAACTTGACCATAAAATTTTGTGAGGCAACACTTTAAGGTCATGGAGATGCAATTGTCTGATAGTTGGTATGATGGACTCCCAGGGTTAAAACATCCAGGTCATGGACTGAAACCTTGACTCTTGCATGCCCTTATTCACCCCCATGCCCAGGTGTGTAGATGGGTACCAAAGACCTGTCAGAGAAGCCTGACAAAATGCTGGGGATGGGGCTGGGGCTGGGGAGGGGGGTAACCTACCATGAATGGGCATCTCATTTAGTGGAAAAGAAATACTCCATGAGGCTTCATGTAACAGAGACCAGGATAAGCCCCAGTGAATTGTAGGCCATTTGGCCCAAATGAAAGTCTTACTTATTAAACCCTAATAAGGCTGTGACCCTGTACTTGCTCTGGCAGAGGTTTAAGCTGGACAAGACTCATTCAAGCACCTCCACCTCTATAGACACCTCAGTGCTTTAAGTGCTTTTGCACATTTCAAATTTTCCAAAAACAGGAAATGCAAATAAGATGAACAGAAAAACCAAAAGATTATCTGCTTCCAAAAACAAGTTTGGATGAACTACATGTACCTGTAGAACACTTAAATAATTTCTAAAGAAAAAAATGATAGCTTCATAACCAGTAACAAGAAATTAAGAAGAGAAATGTTTAGAAAAAAAAGATTACTATGTGTCTCTGATAACATGCAAACCTGCTGGAAATATTTGATTTAAAAAGGATAGTTTTGTACACAATTTTGTGCCCACCTTTTTTCTTGAGGACCTCCAATATCCGGGAATAATTGACAAAGAAGCATTTCCTGTGTTTTTCAAGTATGTCCATGGATAAAACAAATTTAGGATGTTTTGTAACGTGACAACCAGCCAGTTCACTAATGCACATCCGCAGATTTTTCACCTCTCGGCAAATTGATGAAGAGTTCCGATTAAATTTTTGGTAGCATCTATTGACAAGATCCTCACTACATACTTTTCTATGAACTGCAAAGAGAAGGAGAGTCATTAGAAGCATACTATTCCAGAAAACAGTTTAAATTGATGCCCCTTTGTACAAGTGTTATAAGTTGAAGGGGTCTACATCTATGTACAGTAATGATTCAATTTAGCACCCTCTTTCCAATAAGCACCTCCCTCAAATAATATTTGTTGGTAAACGCCCCCATTGAGTAAGCACCTTCATTCCACTAAGCACCCCTACACTAATTATTGCCCCTATTTTGTTTCTGCAATAGCACTGTTAGAGTATATGTAAGCGTGGGTCCCTCTTGCTTTAATTACTTGCTTACAAGGTAAAAAAAAAGGGGTCTGTTACTGTTACTATTTCATATAACACTTGATCAAAAGCTGCACCAATGCAGTTAAAAAAGGCATACCTTTACTTGGTGGTAAACAGTCAGGAAAAGAATTTACTTTGTTCATAAGTGATTCATACTGGACTCTTATCCTGGCATGGCTTGGCCAAATGTTATTAGCACAAGCTTTGAGACAAGACCGTAATTCCAAAATTTCCTGGCATGTCTTCAAGTTGTTCTCATTGAACTGATTCTGACAAACTGTTAACCAATGTTCAGTGCAGTTGCTACTAGCATAAGATTCTGCCAAAAAATTAACAAGAATATCAGTAACTTGAAAGGATTAATGATTAAAAATTATTTGTGTTGAATGATAAACATCCCTACCCCATAACACAACAGTTTTAAAAGTACAGATTATGTCTTCCAATACCTTATGAAGTGAAAATTTTTGCAACATATCTGTATTCAAACTCGTATTTAGTGATTCAACATTTGACTTGGAAAAGAACCTTTGGTTTGTTAGAATTTTTAAAAGAATTTACAACTTCTTTGGTGACAAAATCACTTTGATTGTTCCTGTATTTAGAGTCATTTCTTCATCCACTTTCCAGTGATTAATAATAGTAGTTGAACTGAGTGGGGTGCAAGTTGGTCTGAAACATATAAGTTATTTCAAAATTCAATGAGCGCACAGCTTAAGTTTCATTTAAAATCATACGTATGATTTCTGACTAAAATTGCACGACACAAAGTCCAGTTACCACTTTGTTACATCCACTTTTAAATCACAAAATTCAGTTGCTCAAATACAGGATTTTCTAGTCTGTACAAATATTTTAATGATCCAGTACTGAGCTGGTTTGTAAAAAGTTGCAAAATTTGATTTTCATTTCTCTCTTTCATGGACAGTAAGTTACTGTGTCTACTGACTCTGATGAAAAATTATTAGAAACGGACTGATTTACATTTCACACATACTATTTACATAGTTTCTTGTAATCGGGTTATGACTACTAGGCTTATCCCTTTGAGGATACATTAACAGAATAATTTTAAAATTAATTAATCCGCATTCTCGAAACATTGTATTTGTGAATACTGTAGGATGCGATCGGCATTTCACGCAAAATATTTGCATAGTTTTGTGAAAATAAGTGCCTCCATCATGTAAATGTTATATCAAAAGGAAACCGAAAAAATATTGCAATGAGCAGGGGGAGAGATCAGAACTACAATTGTTTGAAGAAGTGAAGTTTGAAGTGCAATTAGCCAGGAACTGAAGGACTGATAGATACAAAATTGTAAGTGTTGTTGTTTTTCCCTCACGCTAACAAATGTACACTATTGTAACTTTTTTCTTATAATTTTTGTAATTTCAGTTGATTAAATACATATATATGTGTGTGTGCCACCAGATCAGATATAGTGCGAATAAATTCTCATTTCCTAGATTCTCGTGGTTGATCTTCAATTCTGTGTCTCGCGCATAGGCACAGAGCATGGATGAAAATTAACATTAAAAAATAACGTTTCAACTGCTTGATGGTCATTTTCACTAACATTTTTACTGACAAAAACTCAATAGAGTTTTAGCATTTTTACAATTGATTACATAAGCACATGATAAAAATTTTATCCTTCAACTAGAAAATGACGGTTGAGCAGTCAAAACGTACTTGCTTTTTAACCCTTTAAGGCTATTGTAACTTTTTTCTCATAATTTTTGTAATTTCAGTTGACTAAATACATATATGTGTGTGTGTGTGTGTGTGCCACCAGATCAGATATAGTGCAAATAAATTCTCATTTCCTTGATTCTTTTGGTTGATCATCAATACTACTTGTGTCTCGTGCATAGGCACAGAACATGGATGAAAATTAACATTAAAAAACAACATTTCAACCGCTCGGTGGTCATTTTCACTAACATTTTTACTGACTAAAACTCAATAGAGTTTTAGCATTTTTACAATTGATTACATAAGCGCATGATAAAAATTTTATCCTTCAACTAGAAAATGACAGTTGAGCAATCAAAACATCCTTGCTTTTTAACCCTTTAACTTTCAAAAGTGATTCACATGTAACTTTTCCCTATATTATCCATGCATTCTCCACCAAACAGGTAACAAGACCACCCAACCTTATCAAGTTGAAGGTATTATCTTGATCTAAAATTATTGCGACTTATTTGTGTAGCAGCTAGGAGGGAAAATCAACAATCTGACCTTAGGAGTTTAAGGATTAATAAGCATTGAAATCTGGCCTAGTCTCAAAGTCATATGGTGGACAATGTCCACTCAATACAAGAATAACATGCCACTCTAGTTACCTCGAATGTAGGGAGAATTAAAGGTTGAGGCAACAATTTTCTGAATAGCTACCTCTCCTTTACTTTTTGGGTGAAACTTAACTTTGGTTGCTCTTTAAATTAAATAATTGAAATATAACAATTTTCACACCACCAAGGATAGCGGCTGTTGTCAAATATTCCCCTCAACTATCTCTTGAGCAATATTCTGCAATATTCACTTCACCAAAGGAAAATAATTCTTCATAGCTTTGAAATTACCCAAAGCTGTTTCGAAGCTGGGCAATAAATGAGTAGGTGCTTCAAGAGGGTCATGTACCCCCTATGAACAACAGGAAATTGCCCAAAGGCTTAAAATTAACTTGTGGGCAGGAAATTTATTGTCAAAATTTACACTATAAGGGATATTGCACGAAAGCGCAAAATCACGGTAAGTATGGTTCTCACTTATTTCGCTGCATGATACAAAACCGAATATCGAGAATCTGACCTCATTTAGCTGTTTTCAAGTGTCAGTTTTCTACGAACGTATCTCATTTAATGATGAAGGAGAGTATTAATTTGATGTAAATTGCTGCTCATGATAACAAAACCAGAAGCTTGGCGAAATACTTGAAATAGGAGATGACCCCAGGCAATATTGCCGAGCAAAAGGCAAATTACCACGACACGAACAAGTTTTACCACAAGTAAATGTTATCTTTGAATTAATCAAGGCAGAGCATATTTGCCTGAAATAATCCTTTTAATCAAGGAAGCCTAAGAGGAGGATTTTGAGTTCAGCGTACCTTTTTGGCACTAGTAGTTTAGAGAAACTTGACCCGACAAAGCACTTGATAAAAATAAACGAGAAAAGAACAAGTATTGTCAACACAACATTGTGACATTTTTTTTCTTTTTTTTGCCTTAACTGGATTATACTAAGATTTACAAATGCGCGATATCAAAATTGAAGCTGAAATCAAAGTTCACTGATGAAAAAAATTCGGAAACCAAAATATTAGAATACGATTCGAACCCTATAGCAAAAGATTGACACAAAATAGTGGAAGACGGATGATTTGATGTTAACAACAAGGCCTCGTAAAAACCAAACACAGTAATCAATGCGCGTTGTTTCGACTAGTATAATTGGGAACATTACAAGATTCTTCGGTTGCGTCAAAGTGGAAGCGTCAGGCGAGCCCTCTCTGAGCAAAAGCTTGAATTTCCCACTACTGAAATTTGCATGCACGCAACCACTGTCAATACCTTTCTGGAACAGACCCAAAGGTGAGTGAAATGCAAGACTCGTTGACTTAATAACGATCTGCATGTTTGCCTAGACAAACTCACCTCTCAAGTAAACAATTCACATTTCCATCAGAAGCACAAAGCACTGAAATAGTAAAGAGCTTCATGCTTCACTCAAGTCAATGTAAAATCGACGATTAGCCGCGACGAAGATCAGTTCCTATTTTAGTTCACGTTGCTGACTGATCAGCGAAGCAGAACCATAGAAGCTTTTAATCTTTAAAGAAGCTAAAAACAAAATCTAACTTCTAAGGTCATCTTCAAAGTTTAATGTTTTACTGAGAGCCATTTCCGTTGCCTTAACTTACCTTGTGGAGACATAACAAGCAGGAAAATCAATAAGACGAAGCCATATCCCCCCAAGTTGTCCATGTTTCGTGTTGCATATCTGCAAACAACAAACCCCACTGTCGGTTTTTGTCAATGTGTCCTATTATGGAAATTGACTCAAAGGAAAGCACAGTGATTGGCTGGCGAGGAAGAACAGATGTCACTTTCTTTACAACGTTTGGCGGCTAAATGATTACAGGTCATTCGTGAGCGAAATAAGAGAAAATTGGCGCTATTGTAATAGAACCAATCGTAAATAAGGCTATTTTTTTTCGTCGGGAACAACAAAGGATTTCGTTAAATTAGAGTTAAGATGTCGAGAAAGAATGCTTTTTATCCATCGCGTCCAGGGAAATGAATGACTTCTTACAATGCCGACTCATTAGCATGCAAAGCACAACTTTGCCAAATACTCAAACAAAGGTGGTTTTGAGGCTTTTGTAAGAAATTTCTAGTACCGGTAGCGAAGCGATGCTTTCACAAAATGGTGCGGTATCTGTTTTCCTTTACTTGATATCCGAGAAAAGCACTCGCTCTCTGTTTTTCTTTCTTTCCAAACTTCCATTTAGAACAACGTTTGAAATGAGACCTTCGAGGTGCTTCATAATTGATTTAAAAAGCTTTTTTTTTCCAGTCATTTAATGACTTCAGAAGAACAGATGATAATTCTATAATAGCACTGGCTGACTTCCTCGAATTTAATCGTATTGTATTTCTTTCCTTGAGTTGCCACCCTCAAACTTTCTGTATTCTGTTTTCCGACTGGAAAGAAAATAAATTAAACTTACTTGTAAAGATGTGGCCCGACATGGCAAGGCTATTTTTAATATGGCAACCCAAATTTAGGGGTAGACGTGAAAATATTTGTTATTTTATCCTGTTTGTTTTAGGAGTGTCTGAGAATGGTTTTGAATCATGGGCCTAAAAGGTGTTGTTATGCCTGTTAAAAGGTAGGCTATTGAATTTATTCAGCTTTCTGGTATACAAGTGTCATATTTCCATGTTTCGTTTCTTTTTCCAATCAATAGCATCCAGAGTTCCTTGCGCCGTTTGCGGGAAGTTCAAATTTCTAAACAACCAATCAGATCATCGGACTTTCGGTTGCAATCTGCAACGTATTGATGGAAGAGTAGATCGAACACAAAATAACGTGTTATTTACCGATCGCCTCTGTTTTTTTTGCTTCAGCTTTATTATTGGTTTTTGCTAGTGACAGTCTGATTTCTACAGTTTGTTTTGGTGAGTATTTTGAGATAATGCGCGCTATAATTCAGCTTAACGGTTTCCATAATCTTCGAAGATGTCTACGTACTTAAAGATACCATTAATTCTTTTTAAACTACGAGGTAATGTAGAAAAAGTAAGCGTACTGTTTTAGAATCTGTGAAATTCACAAACCTCGTGCGCCGCAGAAGCTTTTCTCTAAGGTCACCTATGCATTCGAAAACTTCGTACTTCAAACAGATCGATGGTTTAGTGGAATTGATTCGGCGAAACTTCTGTTATATGCATATTTTTTTATAATTTTCAATTGAATATTGTAGCGTACTGATATGGTAAGCTTAGCATTTTTAGCATCAGTTATTCTTATAAAATACCTTACCCTGTGACGAAAACAACCAATGCAAATTTTGACTTTTTACCGGTTAAGAACGACCAGAGAAAGAGAATGAATTGACCAGCCTTAACATATATTTTCAAAAGCTTAAAAGGCAAGGTTAAAAACCAATGCGATTGAATTGATTTACCATGAACCTTTAATACTTCTGCAGATATTAAATATTTTTATAACCGCTGGTTCCAGTTCAAGAAGGACTAAAAATGGATCCTACAGAAGTCCAAGTGGTAAGTCAACAACTGTATTGGCTTGTAATCATTTATATAACAGTGCGTGAAGAGACACTGTAAGTCAGGGTAAAATATCTGGCCTAAGAACACAGCTAAATGAAGCAAGGGAGTTCCAAACCCAGACCCTCTGATTGTCAGATGATAAGCTCCCACTGCTATGCAAGTCAATCTTATAGTGACAAGCATAATTTACCAATACTGATGTACAGAGTAGTTGTTGATAACTAACAATTCAAAAACTTCATTGTGTATACTACTGACAGTACTGTATTTAAAGTTTGATGACTGACAGTACTGTATTTAAAGTTTGATGATAGTAAGGAGAGAAGCTGATGGGGGGAGGGAAGGGTGACCTCGTTTCATGGACAAGATGCAAAATTTATGTGTCACATGTACTTTAGATAGTATTCAATACATCATATAAACTTCAAATTTCACCTTACCTTGTAGGATGAATAATAAAATTTACACATTAATTTTGGGTTTAACCACTGATCATGCGGAAAAAAAACCTTTGACACCCTCAGTAATCTTTTTTTTTCCTTCTAGCGTTCTCCATTATCAACTCAAGATCAAAATATAATGGCTAACAAACAAATTGGCAAACCTCAATTTGTCAGCAAACTGAGGCCTCCATCAGCTGTTAAGAGGCCTCGTGAACAAGCTTTCACTAAAGGAGTACCACCAAACTGTGAAGTATGTATTGATGATAATGATGTTGTGCAACATGAAAATTCTGTAGGTTTTAACTTTTGGGGATTGTTTATGATCTGGGGAAATAAATTACTTTTAGAAAAATCTTGCAATAGAAAATGAAGTGAAAAATGTTCCTTTTTCTGTCCATTTCACGACTCCAGTGAGGTAGGCTGTGGGTGGGGTTAAGCTTTTCGTCATTGTGTCACTTTTTTGTGTAATAAGGCATGAGATTTGCCTCAAACTCACCAAGTACAGTAGAATCCTGCTAACTCAAACTCCTAAGAGATACAAAAAATTGTTCAAGTTAGCAGTGTTTTGAGACAGCTGATAGTGCATGACTAAAAATGAGATCAAGGGAAATCAGATCTTCATTGAGTAACTAGGCGTTTCAGTTAACCAAATTTAAGTTAGCAGGGTTCTACTGGTAATAAAAGTTGTTACTTTATGAAATTAGGTTCCAAGCATGATTTTAAGTTGTCTTGAACTGCAAAGAGTTCTTCTCAAAGAATGCAAAAAATGATAAAAACTTTTGTAAATTCACTTGCCACAAGTTAATGGGTTTACTTTCAATTCTGAATTTTTACTGAAGACAGGTTGTAGTTTTTTTTTTTTTTTTAACTATGATGGGTATCTGCTGGAAAGATAATTCATTGTGATCTTTTTTATATAAATTATCTGTTTACAATTAGAGTAGTTGGTAGTGTAAATCAATTGTGTTTTCATTTCCCAGATATAGTTGCTAAACTGAGTTCCATGAGGCAATGATTCTTAACGGAAAAAAAAATTTAGTGGCATCAACACGCAATTTTGTTTTTAACTCCTTTGTAAAATTTATGATTTGATCACAGCCTGCATCCAAAATGAAGAAATCGTCATCACAAACCTCTTTAAAGTCTGCACCACAGGACAAAACAGTAACAACAAAATCTACAGTTTCGTCAACTTTAAGGAGGCAAACCTCAGCCAGCACTGTAAGACGAGGTACTTCCACTCAGGCACGACCAGCCGCTGCGAATCTTTCTGCTGTTACCAAAAGACAAACAATAGCAACAGCAGCTGCAAATGTAAATAAAAATGCCAGTTCAAAGGGTTCTGCCACAGATTCATTGATGGGAGCAAAAGGTTAGTAAAGAAAAGAAAGATCTTGAAGATGTGCATTCAGATTACAGATGATCACTAGTGATTTGAAAATGGATGTTATAAATTCATAAATCATGCTATTTTTTTTTCCAAAGCGCATCTTTTCCCCTAGCTGATTAGAGAGCTAAACTAAACAAAAAACTTAATCAGATTTCAAGGAATGTTTAAAGTAGCCATCAAATTGCAGGAAAATGAAAGACAAAGATGCCTTTGTGCAGCAAGTTTGCAACTTTTGTCCCCAAAATGTTTACTTTTTTTCCAAGAAAATGTATGAGTAGCATCAGTTTTCTACAATTTTAGAATAATGGCAATGATGAGATCCTTCAGGCTGAATACCAACATTTTTGGGCTGTTAAATCTTAAGTTACAGTTTTAAAATGAATGCATTCATTAAAAGTGGTCATTGAACTTCTTGTCTGAGAAATTTTGATCTGAAATCAAATCAAATTGCACTACATGCTTGTTTGATCTTTAAATCACACAATATAATTCCAGAGCAAATTGCATGCCAGTTGGTTCAATTACCATCATAAATCACACTTTAGAGAGCCAATCAGATTGCAAGGATTACCAGCCATTTCAAATACTTCATATGCAATAAGAGAATTCTGATGTAAATGCCCAAATCACTTTTTTACTTTTTTCTCACTTCCTTTTTATTTTCAGGAAAGAAAAGGCCTGCATGGGACTATAAAGGAAGACTGGAGGATATGGAAGGGTTGATGGCAAAATCCAAGTCCTTCATGGAAAACATGACAAAGACTATTGGAGATAATCAGGATAGGATAGGTTTTCTGGAATCTTTAAACAAACAACTGGAGGGTACTGTGCAAGTTAAACATCAACAAACTGAAGAGGTTAGATCATTTGTATCTTTCCCTCCCTCTGGCTTTCCTTATTTTTTTCTTTGCTTACTTCCTTTCATTAGGCCATGACTCTCTTACTTATTGGCTTTGCCACTCAATTCTTGTTTGCTTGTATGCTTTGTTATCTTCCATCCTTTTGTCATTATTCTTGTCTCCTTCCCTGCCTTTTCTTTCTTGCTTGCCAATGCCTGATTTCTGGCTTTCTTATTTCCCATCAGTCTCCTGAGATGCCATCTTGTAAAACCTTTCCTACACACTTGCATTTTACTTTTCTCTCTGGCTTTAAATACATTTCTCTTTACTCATTTATTTTAATACTAACAATAACTGGGCTGCCCGAGAGGGGAGGGGGGTTGAATATCCAGACTGGGAAATTATCAGAGCAGGGTTTTATCAAAGAAGTGTGATTGAAAACTTAAAGAGAGCCAAAAAAATTGGTTTTTTTTTCTTTTCCCTTTTTGAGTTGTTAGCTAGAATTATTGAGTACCACATACAGTACGCATTTCTTAGGTTGAAAACGGAAACAAATACAGGCTTATACTCCACAGTTTTTGTCTTAAGGAAGGAGGGCCCAATAGAAATGCGCTGGATTTTATTAAAAACTTCAAGCTTTGGACAGAGGCTCCATGTAAGGAGAGAAAGAGTCGTTTAAAGCGTGTGCGGTACTCAAATTTTGAATTAATCCCATGAATTTTCAGGCCTCAGCCAAAATACAGGATCTTCAGATAAAACTAACAAGCGCTGAGGAGGAGGTAAGGTCTCTTCAGTTGAAGCACGAGTTTGAGATAGAAGTGGAGAAAAATGCCAAAAAATGCCTACAGCGGGAGAAAGACGGTTTAGAAAACGATCTTCACATTTCCAAGCAAGAGATCATAGCCTTAAAGTCGACTGTAGCTAAAATGACAGCAGATTCACTCGGAATAAGCACGGAACTACAGGCTACCAAGGTAAGTTTGGTCTAATTCCTGTTTACAGGAGGTGCCGTTCTGGAGTTTTTGCCCCTCCCAACTCTTCCTCTTCTTAAATCCTCCCTAATCGCAGCGACCACTAAGACCAAAGATCAATATCACCAAGGGCCAATGAGAGCTCAGCTTACTGCCCGAAGCGCGGGAAAATGTAATTGACGAAGTCGTGATTGGCTGAGGTGTTGATAATGTTACTGGTTAAGAAAGTGGTGCGAGTTTCTGACCAATCACAGAGCGAAGTTAAGCAAAACGAAGGCAATCCCAGATAACCTTCGACATTCAGTTGAAAATTCCTCTTCTATACCCGATTGGAACCTTTCTTTAAAATTAGTAGAGAAAACAAAAGCTTAAAAGGCCTAAATATCATTTAAGATGACATCAGTGCGAAAACGAAAAGACAAGCAAGGAACTTTGTGATATAATATAACATAAATAGCCTAACTTCTTTTTGAATCTAAAAAATTAATTATGGCTAGTCAGAAGACTGGGTTTTCGCGCGGTTTCCGTGTTTTCTTATTTTGGTCATTTACCAAAACTAAGTACAAAGATAAAACAAAGTATGATAAGAATTTGCAGTTTATCACAAGCTGAGGTATCAAAAGACGAGGGAGTGAAACGGTAATATAAACTTGAAAACTTAAGAGTAAACTCTGTTTAATTAACTCGATAATTTCCTGTGGGGAAGCGTCGACGTGAATCTCCTCCGTCAAGGAGTTTTTTTTTACCTTCACCTTTCGTTGTCTACCGAATAAGAATTTTCGTGCGTAAATGCAGCAGCAAATCAGATCCGCCTTACACTCTAGCAAAGATTTTTCTTTGACGTGTTTCAATTTTTTTTCTTCCTTCTTCTAAGCTGGAACAGTTGAAATATCTCTGTTGACGTTTTTTTCTTAAGGTTAATCTCGAAAAAACGATCGCCGAGAGCCAACAGAAAAGCGACATCATCGCAAAACTCGAAGACACCATAAGAGGACTTCAAGACAACATGGCGGCTCTAGAATCTAAACTGCGCTCTGAGGAAACCATAAGGCGCGAACTTCACAACACCATCCAAGAGCTGAAGGGTAACATACGGGTATTCTGTCGGGTACGGCCCATGCTGGCATCAGAAGAGAGTCAGCGATCGTGTGCGTTTTCTTTTGGGCAAGACGAGAGAGAACTGGTGGTGGAATCCACGTCACTGAATGAGGTAAGGTTTGTGATCTTAACCTTAGTGTGAATCCTCTGTGACTACTCTACTTGGCAACCAACTATCTGACTATGACATTCAGTTCTCCATCGATTTGCGTCTGGTCGGTTCATTTTGTTTTAAGGGAAAGACACGTTACTTTCGCGGTACCTCCCTCTCCACTCAGTTACAAATGAGTACTGGCGAACTGTCAGTTAAGTCTGACGAATTTTTGGGGGGGGAGGGGGGAGTTAATCTGCATTGGTCTGGCAACCCATCCATGGGGAGGAGTTGCAATACACTTAGTCGCTCCAAGCCACAAAGACCGGAAAAAACCCGGACCACTAAGCTCGAGTGTACGTTTGACTGCAAAATGCAAGGAGAATTACCTCCAACAGACAAGTAGGTCTGTTAGATCAAGATGTTAGCCTTAGCAACTTCCACCTGATGAGTTAGAGTATTCTCACAGCCTGTTTGTTACATAATATGTGGAAAGTGTTGGGAGAAGTTACAAGTTAATCACTTAAAGTTAAAGGGTAATGGAACACTCTTAGTCGCATAGTGCTTCAGAAACCGGCAACATACAGCCACTGGTGAAGGCTTTTTTATGTGTCATACAATGAAAAATATATTCAAGTTCCCTATGGTTCAGCATTCCATAACTTTGTTAAATGATTTTAAAAAAAAAAACCTACCAGTATTCTCTTTGACCCACTCGTTTTAAAAAGAAAAATTTATTTCTCTTTTTGTCTTTGTAATGGTGCCTGTTGATTTCCTTCGTAGACTATTTGCGGGAATAAGAAAGCCGCACCCAAACATGAATTCATGTTCGACAAAGTGTTTACGCCTTCTTCAAGCCAAGGAGATGTCTTTGGTGAAATCTCGCAGTTGATTCAGTCAGCCCTGGACGGTTACAATGTGTGTATATTTGCTTATGGACAAACGGGCTCAGGAAAAACTTTCACCATGGAGGGAAACCACGGAGATCATGAGGCAAAGGGAATGATCCCACGGGCCTTGGAACAAGTGTTTCGGACATCCCAAGACCTCAGAGAAAAAGGTTGGCAGGTGAGAAATGGTCAGATGCTTTTGTCTTTGTGATCTATCACTTAAAAAAAAAAAGCATAACTTGATTGATCCTATAATTTGTATAAAACTATGAACTGAAAAGTGAAATATGGAGAAAATTTGCCTTGAAGCTTATGGCAGTTAGAATATTTTTCTCTGGTTAGCTATTTTTCATGCCGCAAGAAACACTTTTTCCCTCAGTTTCTTCTTTTCTTGCACTTAAAAAGCTCCTACGTGTAACTAGGGTCTCCTTTGACAAAATGAAATGCAGAATATTCGTGCGGCTGTTTAACCCTTTAACCCCTAAGAGTGATTACTAACAATCCTCTTCTATCAGTATCACTTCTAAAACAAACATTGAGGTCATGAGAATAAAGGAAATGGTCACCAACTAAAGACGCTCTTGATTATTGAACAAATTCTCTTTCTCAGCACCATTGGAGATGTATAGAGAACAGTTTGGGGAAAATGTATGCTGATGTTAGGGTGTAGAGGATTAACGAATAGATTCCGTGTTGCCGTGTTTCTGTTCATTGATAAATCACTGGTGGAGTCAGTGTTGTGATCTGTTACTGAACAGACCCACGGTAACATGAAACACTTGGTTTACTATAAATAACACAAAAGCAAACTGATGTTGATAGTGCATCTGCCCTCCAATAGATCATGCGTGTTTAAATGCGTATATAATACAGCTTATCATACAAGGACTGGTAGGACTGAGTGGAGTCCAATTCGGTCTGTTATCGTACGAGTGATAACAAAATCGGACGACCGCGCAAATCATGGCAAATCAAAAAAATTTTTATAATTACCGAGAAAGGAAGAATAGCCAAGTTATGAAAGAAAGGGAAAATTTGCATTAAAAGACTGACAATGGAGGCGTAAATTGTTTATTTTAACCCAAGGTTATGATTGGTTGATTTAAACTGAAACTTTGTAAAAACTTGACAAGTGTATTAGTGGGAAATAGGAGTTTTCTAAACCAATCACAATCGAGGAAATTGTAATTTATTTTTGTTAATTATGATACCATCAATCACTGGATGCGTAGCGTCCTATTTCAGTTCATAAACTTTCATGAAATAATAGCTCTTCTTGTCGTGGACAGAGACCTCCTTTATTTATGTTTTCTGGTTTTTATTTCCTGTTAGTACACGATTGAAGCCAGCTTCCTGGAAATTTACAACGAGACTATCAGGGATCTGCTGGGATCTGGTGATTCTAACACCAAGCATGAGATCAAAATAGTGAATCCCAGTAACACCGGAGGGGCTTGTGAGGTTACTGTCACGAACGTTAAGACTGTGACTGTCACGTCAGAAACACAGGTTAGTAACTTGCTTTAGTTTTCACAAAATGTTTCAAGTGAAATATTGGACCCTTGAAAATAAGAAAAATAAATAAATAAATGACGGTGACGAGAATGTTGCGAAACCAAATATTTAATGGGCAGAACAATGGCTCTGCACGTGCGTTTTAAAACTTTCCAGTGGTGGATCCAGAGGGAGAGTTCGTGGGGGGCGTTCTTGACCCCCCTTATCCAACCAAAGGCTTTTTTTTTACCACTCGTACGACTCCAAAGCTCTTACGTCTGAATAATTTTTTTGTGTGAATGTTACCACAATTAAAGCATAAGGGTTGGTAATTTCAGACCGGACTCCCTATCAAAAATTCCTCATCCGCCCCTACTTGCAAGTACATTTCCTAGCCATCCTATGCAGAACATCATCATGAAAAATGGATCAGAATAGTTGTAACGTTTTTACTTTTCGCCCAGGTATACAGTCTTCTGGAAAAAGCGACTCAGAACAGAGCCGTAGCCGCCACTCAGTGTAATGAGCGATCATCCCGAAGTCATAGCGTCTTTCGACTGAAACTTGTCGGCGAAAATCAACTCACCGGTGAAAAATGCCAAGGTAAAGAACATCAAAATGAAGCATTGCCATCGGCTAATTACATGTCGATGGAAGAAGACCTCCTCGATCCTGGCTGGTTTTTCTATTTCCAACTTTTGTAATCTGTTCAACGTTGTCGCCTACTTTTAATTTAAAAAAAATCATGTGACAATCGAAATGTTTTCAAAACATATTTCAACTTTTTCTCTTCAGGGACTCTGAATCTTATTGACTTGGCAGGATCTGAGCGGTTGAGTCAGTCTTGCTCGACTGGAGAACGTCTCCGTGAAACGAAGAACATCAACAAAAGTTTAAGCAACTTGGGAAATGTAATCATGGCTCTCGCCAATAAAGAGCAACATATTCCGTACAGGAACTCCAAACTGACCTTCCTACTACAAAACTCCCTGGGTGGAAACAGCAAAAGGTAGGTGTTGAGGAAGAGATCGAATCAGCGTGACGCCGGGGAATGTGGCGAGTGTAACGGTTAGTTTTTTTTCAAAGAAAATTGCTCTTTGAGGATTTTAAGGAAACAGGTTAGGAACCAGGTTATCGTTCGGGGGAGTTGTAAGTCTATTGATTTCGAAGATTTACTTTTGCAACCGGTGACGAATAGTAGTAAACTCTGTTTACATTCTTACTTTATTTTGTGATCAGTTCTGCGACTCCAAATAATCATGGATTTTTTTCCTCACCAGTTTGATGTTTGTAAACATTTCACCCAAGGAGGAATCACTGCAAGAAACTCTTTGCTCTCTTCGCTTTGCTACCAAGGTAAAAAAAACCTTTCTAGACCATCATTTAAGTATTTTTTGTTTGCGGTTCTTGAGATACAAAGTTGAGTTTGAATTTGAAAAAAAATTCAACCCATGCAACTCCCACATCCGGGCTCTACGATGCAGGGCGTGAAGAAAACCTCCGTCCGTTCGGGAAAAAGTTTTGTCTCCCCGGAGATATACAAACCACATCATGAAAGAATTCTCATTTGCTCCACTCCAGTTTTCTGCTCGAAGCTGCGTGGTTATTTTCAATAGAGTTTCTTCATTGGTTCTGAATTGCATTGGTTCGCCTTATCGAGCCCTGTAATTGGTGAAGAAAACTCGAGCCACTCTCGCCCAGTCACATACAAAATTAAAACCGAGCGTGTTTGAATTCGGTTTCTCGTTTTTTTCCACTCATCGGGCATTTAGTGCGTGTTTAACTTCGAGTTATCAGTGGTTCCTTATGACTTAACCTTTGTTCCTATTGGTCATTGTAGGTGAACCAATGTAATATCGGAACTGCACAGAAGAAGGTTCTCAAGTAACTCACAGACCCTGGGGGAAGAAAACCATCCTCAAGTAATCCTATCATGTTTTTTTTTTTAACTGTGCAATCATTTTAAATACTGCAGATAAGAGATTTGTAGGAATTTCTAACACGGTGTAAATATCGCGTTTTAGTTTTCAAGCAGATAAAGATTTCCTTTTTATAATTGTAAATTCATTAATGAAAGTCCTAGTTTAAACTTGATTGGGAGGCAGTGTTTCACAGTAACCTCCTCCTGTGACCATCGATGCTATTATTAAGTCTCTTAGACATCGGAATATGGCTTCATATGCAAGTAATTTTACCCTGATTTTGAATGCCATGAAGTGGTATGAGCAGCAACGCGAAGTTTGCCTCTGGAGAAGGATATAAGCTAAAGATGTATAAACTAAACAATATAAATGGTGTCAAAATGGTTGAAGTAGTTTTTGGTCTATCGAGTTCATCGCTTAAAGCTGTTAGGCGAAATCTTACGACTTCTCCTTGCCCTAGAGGACTGGTGTTATAATTTGCTTGCGTTTTTTCTGGGAAGCGGAGGCAAACGCGAATCAATAGCGAAGAATGACCTACCCTTTGTGCAGACCTTGCTCTCGCTTCGCGTTTTCATCCACTTGCCTTGATATCGTTCCCAGGGCTTTTCCCAATTTTCGAGGGAATAGCCCCAGAAACAAGGTTGCTGCTTTCATGGGAAAAACGCTAAAGAAAAGTGACGCCTATTCTCTTGGCTACGAATCCGAAGGGGAGGGGAGATTTTTTTTCATCCTTTTCGGTTACTTTGATCACTCATCTGCAAACTTACCCTCATCTGTAAGTCCTAAGACTTCCAGACTCCTCTGCCATACCAAAACCTTTGGTCAGTAAAAACACTGCTTAGATAGAGGAGCTACTTTAGGTTTAGCATCTGGAGACATTATCAAGTTGACCATTAAAATCGTCATAACTTTTCTACATTCTTAGCTATTTGTGTTCTTTCTTGGTTTCTGGTGAATAAACTAAGAAAGATTTGACAGATCTTAGATCGGTCGCCGCCATTTTGAAAATCACTTAGCAACCTGGCCGCTGTCTTGTAACGTAACAGTTCAGTCTGTTCGCATTGTGGCTGCGCTTAAACCTTATGGATTCAAATCGGAGTGCGAGCTCAATGGAAAAAGACAGGTTGCTGACTAAAGTAACAATTGTTTGTTAACTGTATGTGTTCAGTTGGATTGTTTTTTATGGGCATATTTCTCCTCTAAGGTTAGGAGGCTAATGGTTTGTCTGTTTTTTCCATCCATCTGCTTGGTTTATTTTTCAATTCACCAGTCCTTCTAAAACAGTTTCTATGTTGTCTTCAGAAAAATCTTTACTGCGCCAATTAAATTATATTAACAGCTGAACATCATTTTTTAAATTTTGGAATGATAAATTTTCTCATTTCAATTTCCCATTCTTCGTTTCCCGTTTTTGTTTTTTATTTATTTAATGTCTTATTCCCTATTCCCGTTTTTCAGGTTTTTGCTGTCTATTTCTGTTTTAATCTGCAGATCAAACCCTTAAATATTTATTCAATGTCAAAATAGAGATAAATGATTGTTCGTGACATGAATACAGAAATTGAAAAGGCACAGGTTTTTCACCCTTTAGTTTATTCCCCCGACATAAGCTTACAAAATAATTATAAAAAGTGGTTCAGCGCAGTAACCTTAAAGAATAAGCATGAAACCTAACGGATTCACTTTAAAAAGGAAAAAGAAAGAAAGAAAATTGGATTAATTTTACTAAAAACGTATTACTTTAACAAAGGTATTGTTTGATCGATCAAAGAGCGGATTGTTCGGCTGAAGAAATGACAGATTTGAATTGTTTATTACACAATTTATGTAAATGTAAAACGGAAGAGTCTAGAGAAGTTTCTGGAAAGTCTTGCTGCGAATTTGTCAATTAACTCAGCACATACAATGGTGTTCCATTGTAGTGCAAATTGCCTTATTGTAAGAGCAAGTGACCCTGTGTGTCCACGAAAAGATCACTCCTTGCTCGACAAACGGAACCAAAATGACCGCAATTCCGCCCCTCGGGTCTTAGAAGTAAATTTGAAAGATGAGATTTGGTTAATCTGAGGGTCGTGACTCTCAGAAACGAAAATGAAAACTTGCGGTGCGAAACGAAATGATCAAAATTTATCAACTGATGCAGACGAGCGACCAGCGAGTTGCATTCCTTTACTGTATTTTATCTCTGCACGATGTATTTTCCTGATTAGACATCGCTTTCAGTATCTTTCACTCATAGCTATATTCAAAAGTCAGTGGATTAAAGAGAAGTGTTTATATTGAGTCGAAATCATTTCCCAGATGGTCAAGCTTTTGAGCCATACAGTTTCTTGCCGAGTTTCACGTTGTTTTTCACAGTGGACGCAAATTAGTTAATTCCAATTGGTTGAATTTCGCTTTAAAATGAAGAATATAAATCGACTGATATACGAATGAAGCAGAACTTTTTCAAGTACTTGACTAAACAACCGAGTGACTTCGTATGCAGTATCGTTACTAGCAGTTGACTCTGTTCGGTAACTGAGAAATATTTTTGCCACAAACTAGTGTAATTTTTAATGTTTGGAGTGAAAGAAAAATGCTTTATCGACATGATACGAGTGGCGAGTAAAAAACAATCTCCAAACAAAGTTTCATTCTGTTCTGTGGGAGAACAGGTGTGAATGTGTTTTAATTTTTCTTTCCTGTGACAACGATAGAACTTTTCCAAAAATATTTCCTCTCAATTTCTCGTTGGCAGTTATGGCTTTCGTTTACTTTTAAATTATAAATAACGGGTAGCTGTTGTTCGGCGCAATTTTCTCTCATGAAAAAACAAAAGAATTTGGACTCTGATCAGAAGGCGTTCACGTTTGAATTATTTTTGCGACGAATGATGACATTCGTTCGGGGACACTATAATGAATGCTCGGTTTCCTAAAAAAATTTAGCCACTTTGCCTCAAAATTAACGATTTTCTTTCGTCAAAAGTATCCAACAGCATAAAAAACCAGGCAATTCGCTGAAAAGTTAAATAAAACCAATTTATTTTCCCAGCTGGGGCTTATTTTTTTTATAAACATTGATAAGTCCGCGGTTAAAAATTGTAATTTTTTTTAAATCGAAATTGTCAAATACTGAAAGCGATACCGGTGTAATTTTTTTCATTCGTGAAAGATAAAGAAATGAGGGTCTGTGCCATCGACAATCTTCGAAAATTACACTATTTACTCAGAAACAATGAATGAAAATACATATGTACATATTGAAGCAATATGTGAAACATTCTCAATTATTATTCTTCGCTCTGTTCTCCCGTTCAAGATTACTGCCATTTCAATTCGAACACTTTCCACTGAAAAAGCCAGCTTTCGCCGGAACACGGCGCTTAAAAACTTTCCAGAAGAAAACAGAAAATTATTCTATTTTAAATTCGGAGTGACTCGGTTATTCAACGGACAAGAGGTAAACAATTGTAGTTTTAATGAAACCATAAGGCGTTCACGCCAATCACAGAGTAGTATTCCGATTAAATAGTGAGACTCCAAATGTAAAAATATTCATAGGGTCGAAAAAACGTGGTTTTGATGAATTTGAACAAGAACTTTTAAGATGCCTTCGGTGGACGTGTTGAATAACAAAGGCTAAACTGAAATCAGCAAAGTTCAATCTTTCTTTTAATTCAAAACAATACATCAAAAAATAGAAATTAGTTCATCACCAAAAACGTAAAAAAAAAAAAAAAAACCGTAGAAATCAGCCCATCTTCTATTTCAATTACTTGTCGCCGAAGTGTCGAGTCCAGAGATGTAAACATCAAAAAAAATGTTTGAATCACGTTCTCTAACAATTCCTTAGATTTAAAGAAAATGCATTTGTAGACAAGCTTTCTTCAATAAAATTTTTTAATGTTACAAAGGTGTTCTTAATCATTTCCTAGACGCGTGTCCAGCACATCAATTTTACTTGTATTAAAATGGCTTTTGCCTGTAATATTCGACTGGCCTCCACTCACTGTGCTTTCAAAATTACACGATACATTTCAAATACGCCAGCCTGTAACTCCGGTTTGGCCAGAGGATCTTTTTTATGTTTATTTTTAATAGAAGTTTTAAATTCTACATTGTTTTGGGTCATACCCGTAACCAACGAGTCTGACAGAATATTGTCACATATCACAACATCATATTTCACGAATCCCCCTTAGCCAATGTTATTCTACAAAGTACTTCTGTCTTTTTCATTGTTTAGATTTCTCGTTTGTTTTCGATGCTTTCAACAAAAAGTGTCTTTATCGAAAGCCTCGTTAACGGCGGACTTATCTAGCCTTTGGCTAAAATTCTTAACAATCGTCACCACTTCGTTCATACACTTGACCACTAGAATTTCTTTTCAGTTAAATCTAAAAGTTGTGGGTATTTAAGTTTCTCAGTGATAGTTTACAGGTCTCGGAAAGCCCTTACAGTCGCATTTGCTGGGCTCGAAGATGCAAAAATCTGTTACCCTGGAAATAGTTCGAATTTTCGTATTCAATCCGAGGGTTGTAGGCTCGCAAAATTTTCACCACGGGAACCGAAGAATTGAAAAACGAAAAACAAGAATATTCCGCACAACTTTGTTGCCGGACACGGAAAGAATAAAAAATATCTCCTATCTCTCTAACTACATGTAACTCGTTATTTCCTACTAGCTTTTATTCAAATACAAACTAAATTTTTTTGGCTCATCATTCTTGGCCGGTTGGCCGCCGCGTGCTATCTTTGTGCAGCATATCAATTATAAATTAGTGAATTTTACATATATAAAAAAAACGAATCCATCTCTTCACGAAGTCAAAGTGGTTACTCTTGGATGTAGCAAAGACTATGTTGCTGTAATTTTTTTCTTTTTTGTTCTAACAGCATTACATGATACCTGGATTTTCTGTTTCTTTGGTCACACTGCTATAACAAGCAGGTTATTTCCAATTATTTCACAAGCCGCAAGGAAAAATCTCTTGTGCTCGCTATTTCGGAGCTTCGCCCGCATTCATTCCATTGGTGCTACGTGGAAAAGTGGCACTCATCCATGTTCCTCGATCTTGGGCGATTTCTGCTGTGGCGATTCATTCTGCTTGAACGTTCTGACACAGTCCTGTTGTCTGGCAGTTGTACAACTCCGATTTCCCCCCATACCTCCAAATTATAAAATAATAAAGAGGGAAATATCTTCGTTACACCCCCGTTTCAAATCGTATAGTAGAATCAGGATAATCCACAAGAGGCATTGAATTTGCCACAACTGCTGTGTTTGCCTTGTTCTTGTGTCCCTTAGAATTCGAAGGAATGCTGTCTAGCGATGTTAATAGTTCCATTTCAATGCCAGTTTCAGGTCCGTTCATTCCATTATGATCAACGGCTCCATATTTTCGTTCTTGCTCCGCTTCTTCCTTCTCTTTCTGAAGTCTTTCGTTTTCCTTGCGCTCCTTCTCCTTCTTGCTCTGTTCGGCTGCTCTCTGCTCGTTCTCGCGGTGGTAGAAGTAGTTGAAATTCGACACTATCACGGGCACCGGAAGAGCGATGGTCAACACGCCGGAAATAGCGCACAACGACCCTACGATCTTTCCCCAGACTGTGATGGGCCTCATATCTCCATATCCGACGGTTGTCATTGTGACTACAGCCCACCAAAAAGCGTCGGGTATGCTTTTAAAATTCGAGTCGTCCTCGCCGCCTTCGGCATAATACACCGCCGAGCTGAACAAGATGACGCCAATAAGAAGAAAGAAAATTAAAAGGCCTAACTCGCGCAAGCTTGCGCGAAGTGTATGTCCTAAAATTTGTAGTCCTCTGGAATGCCGCGACAATTTAAAAATCCGAAACACGCGCACCAACCGAATCACCCTGAGAACACCGAAACTGGACGCTTTGGTGTCTTGCATGGGTAGTGTTATATAGTAAGGCAAAATAGCTACAATGTCGATCAGGTTTAGAAACGATCGCACAAACACCAGCTTCTGGGGCGACGAGATAAGCCTCATCAAGTATTCAAACGTGAACCAAATTATGCAGGCCGTTTCAAGGGTAAACCACGGTTGCCTTCGCTTTGTTCCATCCTCCTCTTTTGGCCTGAATTGCGGTAGAGTCTCGACGCAGAATGTCACAATAGACAGCGTAATCACAACAACCGAAAATATTGCAACAACACGCGCTCCTAAAGACGTATCAGGAAACTCGAATAACTCCCAGATTTTACGTTGTAATTTATTTTCGGGTAGAATGGGTTTCTCCTCCTCGATGTACCCTTCTTCCTGTTCCACTTTGTGTAAAATGTCTTCTCCGAGTTCGTAGAACCGAATCTCGTCAGCAAACACATCCATGGGTACATTAGCTGGACGTAAAAGTTTTCCCCCGGATTGATAATAGAACAAAATCGCGTCGAATGCGGGACGATTGCGATCGAAGAAATACTCACTCCGAGTGGAATCATAATACTTCGATCGCTTATTCGCATTTCCTAGCAAGGTCTCGGGGTATTGTTCTAGCGTTTGAACGTGTGTTTCAAATTTCAGGCCACTCACGTTAATAACAAATCTGTCAGCACTCGCTTCAACTGGCGCCACAACTTGAGGCTTGATTCCAGTCAAGGGGATGATTCCAGGCTGTTGGTCGCGATTGCCTGAAGGCTGTAGATTGTTTCTTCCAGGCGTATAGCCTGTCAAAGTCCTGTCAGGATCCGCCGTCACAGAGGGCATTCCTGTTAACGCGTCCATCTCTAGTTTACGATCTGTTAAATACGGCGAACCTAAAGCCCGGATGCGAGGAGAAATACTTGATTAATAACTGACACGAACTGCCGACCAAAGGGGGATCTCCAAGCGCGCGGTATCGTCGAATTCGACCATACCGCGCCATTTTTTCGGTCGAGTAAAATCCTTGAAAAAAGCGAGTAAAAATTTAAAAATTTGAGAACATGTCCCGCTTGTGAAGCTGAAAGGGCCCGATTCTCATAAATTATTGATTCCTTTTAGATCTAAACTTGTAATTTATTAATTCACTGAATAAATTATCACGTCTTCAAATAAACAGGAAATGTAAATAAGGGGATGTAAACATACTAAAAACAGAAATGTTTTCCATGCCATTACGACTCACTCGATGCGTTCTGTTCGATTCCGAGCCCACATTCAAGCTTCAAACACCGCAAATTAAATTTTTAGAATCGCATTTCTCGCTCGCTTGTGCGAGTAAAATGTAAATTGGTGTTGCTCGCGTAGAAAATATAAGCAGATGTTTTGCGAAGACTTCGCAGCTACTTGCGAGTGGTATTATAGCTGTACTCGCGAATCTCACTCGTAAACCAACACACATTTGCTCTAGTGTCGCATAACTTACTTGTGTTGTTCACGGTAGTAAAGCGAACTTTGATTCCATCGGACAGAAGTTCAATGCGAAGATACAGGGTACAAACGCGGGGACAGATAACAATGTTATACGGCGCGAGTCCAACTGACACCTCAAAACATAGAGTCAAGAAACATGTTGCCATAAATCCCGCTAGGTACCCACAATTTTCATCGAAATTTCTCCAAAGTCATTGTATCGGTGTCCAAAGGCAATTTTTCTTGACACGTGGTCACATTTAGGCAAAAATTAATCTTCAGTGGCCGTTCTTCTGAGTTTGGCGATTCTCCGTGAAATAGCCGACGCGGCACTGGGAAAGCGAATCAATTCCTTCGAAGGCAGGAATTTACAGTTGCGTTATGAATTGCCAAGCGTGCTTTTCACTCGCGCCGAATGATTGCCTCGACAAACGTTTCGATGTTATCTGTCGGGCATTCCTTCGAACCAAGAAAAGCTTTCCCAACGGCGAAACAAATTACAAATTGTCGCTCCCAGGTTTTTGAGCACGCGCGATTGAAAGTTGTAACTACATTCAAGGCAGTGATAAAAATTTGCATAGTAACACCACGAACGGAAACCTGCTGCTAACAGTCTTGGATCCAAAACTTACCCGTCCATCTCCCGGTTAGGATGTCTTAGTGACGCTTTTTTTTTCTTTTTCAGACACAGTCATTTTTGCTGCCGAGTACTCACCAGTTCGAAAGCATGAAATGTATATATACTAATTTTATGAAGACTTTGCTGGGAACAAAAAAATTAGAGCGATAAAAATATGCAAAAATTCGTGGCGCCTGGACGTAAATGCACAAACATGACATTTATTGCAAACAGCGCCAAACAAAGGTTTTTGAATTGAAATACTTTTTAAAACTCGGGTAAGTAATTTTATAGCTCGGTTTCATTGGAAAACAAAAGCACAATCCTGAGACAGCAGAAAACCCTTGTCTATTCCTTGGAGACGCACGCAGTGCAGAAAGAATATTTACAGTACTTGGCAACGATATTTAACAAGCAGAAAAACCTAAAAGTTATCCGCCATTGTTGGGAATTTTATTAGTAAGCTAACACGATGCTTAACTTACAACTATTGTAGTACCGAATCGGTGAAAATTACCTAAAATATTCAGCATAGATTGAGGGAAAAAGATCACGCTCTATGTCAATTCTAGTAGAATGTCACTTTGCGAAAGATGGCTGGTGTTTTTCTTTACGCATAAGGGAAAAAATAGTGTGTTGAGCAATACTCGTTTTGTTTGTTTGTTTGTTTTCGTGTGTACTATTCCTGTTTTCGTTTTATTTGAGCCAGTTTGACAGGGGTCTTTTACACCAACCCACCCCCGAAGGCGGACAAAAGCTTGTGGTTTCCACCGGTTACTAATAAAATTTTTGTACCTGCTAATGTGAGACCACTGGAATTACATTTCATGCAAGAGTTATGAGATGAAAGCGCTCACTTACTGTAAACAACCGTGACGATTGCTGTTTGTCGTTTGTCAGGGATTCTTAGGTGCTATTTCATGGGATTCGCGCCAGTAAATGTGTTTCTGACGTTTAAAAGTAAAGCAATTTTCTTGCTTGAACCAAACAATTTTCGATAATTTTGTGGTTTGCTATCCTGCTTCTTTCGATTATGCCGAAATCACCAAGCCACAGACCCACGAGCTTTTTTTTTTTCTCTTTTTTTTTGTTTTTGCTTATTTTCAGCTTGAAATCGATGGAATAATTCGGACCACCCGCCGAACAGAGAGACGAAATCATTCTACTGTTAAAACAAATCTGTGAGAAAAATACCATATGAGGGTCAAATTAACCAAACAAATGCTGCGGTTTCGCAGTCAAAATAGACCCTGTGGGCCTTATGCCAGACCTACGGCTTATCATCGCTCCATCGCTACTGAATGTTTTGAAGGTGATATGAGTCCTACAGCTTATACGCTACGAACAACAGATCAATTAAAACTGGGCAAAATGGTCACGCGACAACAGTATCGTGCTCAGTGAACCATTTCATTAGATATCGTGAAAGGGAATCGTGAATCGACAGAATGTGAAAGCGATGTCGCCAGAACAGGATAATTACATATTTTCAGCCATATGGCAGAATATTCGTGATAATTATCACAGACAAAACCTCATTACAAAGCCGCGGACGGCTTGATCATTGGTTCGTTTTGATGGAAAAGAACTGATGGAATTTTGTCCGCCACGTGGGCGTTCAATTCGTTTGAATCGAAAATTTGACATGGGTTTTAAATCTGAAACCCACGAAAACGTATGCAGCAGTTGCTTAAAAGCCATTTATTTCTCATACCTCCAAAATCCTACGATTAGCTTGATAAATAAGTGAACATGACAAAGGGAATTTTTTACTCTAATTTAGAGGTGTCATCATAATCTGCCTTTTCGCTCTACGATATCAAATCGTTGTTAAACAAACAGGTAGTCGGAGAGTAAAGATTAGCATTATCCTTTACCACAAAATTCGCCTAACAAAAATATTCAAAAACGTATACGAGGTTCGTATTTGTCGAGTTTGACTTCGAACACATTCAATTGATCCTCACAAAAAATGGCAAATATCAAGATCATAAATTCAAATTCAGGGCAGACTCCCGCCCCTTTAATAGTTCAAAACCACAGAAGGAAGCAGACATGTTTTCAACAGGTACGACTGCAGGGCAAAAAAACGAAAAAATGGCATCGATACTTGATCAGTAACCTACCTGGCGCGAGAGAGGAGTTCTCTGTTACTGGGGCCTCTCAAAGCGTTATTAGATAAACATGGTAAAATCTGATATTCGCTCATCCCTTTTGACGCACGTTGCTGAATCTCAGCTTTAAATGGCATTGAATAAATCGGCGTGATCAATATATGTCCGGCCTCCCTACAGAGTTTCAACTCTCGCCTATGACCTTGAACACATGGAAGAACAAAAAATCGACCTTAAGTTTTATTATTTTACGGAGAAAATTCCACTTTTGCGTATCGGGATATTTTGCACGCTTATTTATTCCTTGATACAACTCTAGTTTGTTTCGTTGTTTTAGCTTGCCTCAGATCACGCTAAGCCGAAGACACTGAGTTTAAATTAGATTTAAGGCAGAACTCAGGGCCGCTTTTTTTTTTTCTTTTTTTTATTTCTTTCTTCTTGGTATCATGTTGGGTGCGGGAGATATATGATACTGAAAAACACGAAGAGTCAGCTGAAAATGCGAGTCAGAGCTGGATTTCAATCAATGAAATGCTTTGTTTGCAACGCGACCCCCAACCGGTTTTTGATTTGTTCAACTGATTGTTTGCCGGCCCTATTGGCTAAGATTTACGAATTGAAATAACTGACTTTTGTGAGGTCGCAACTAAGCTTGAAAAGTACTTGTGCTCCACCATTAACAATTTGTGGCTAAGCACCCTTCTAAGCGTAGCGTTTTCGTTGTTTGTGCTATTTCTAATTGTTATGAGAGCTCTATTAATCTCCATCTCTGTTGAGACGGCAACAACGCGTACATCACTGCTGCATCGCTCGAGTTAATTGCATTCGAACCATAGCTTAGGTTGGCTTGACAAAATCACTTTAACTTGGAGGAGGATTATTCACGACATAGTGAGAGCTAAATAAGGCCGCGAAGATCATAAATACAGGCCTCAGTTCAAATACAGAAGATGCTAAAAGGCTTTTTTAATTTACAACGACTCGTTCGCGAATGATATTAAACCACAAAAAGCTTATATGGTCTTAAACCTAATCTTTCACTAATTCAATCTAAGATCTGTCCGAGTATGTTGAAAATTAGATTAACTAATTACTTACAATGAAAATATACCAGCCCCAGAGAAAGTGTCTCTTTCCTCCGTCGGGTTGGAATTAAAAGTGAAACTATGCATCAGATTTTTTAGAAATGATTTGAGATGGTAACTTTGCTGATAATTATCAACAGAAACTTGGTTGGAAAGTAAACTCCTGAGCAAACGAAAAACGAACACATTTGTTGACTTCGGCTTTTCCGGTTTTGTGGTGAGTCTCCCGAATTCTCTAAGTGTGGCGGCGGGCAAATGAAACTTGGGAACCTAATTGAATCATCTTGAAGTAATAAATTGTTCGTTAAAATGTTACTACGATAAGTTGGACGCCTTTTTCGTGGATTTTAGCAGGTTCTAGATCCCGAAATGTAACAGCTAGTTACTTATGTTATCTTAGTCGTAAAAAAGCTTGGTTCCAAGCTAGAACTGTCGATGTGAAGCGTCTGTGTGACTGCCTTCCGAAAGCCTCGCTGTTTCATCACGTTTTTTTGTTCTCTCTTTTTTTTTCCATGGATAACCATTGCAATTATGGCAATGGGGAGGCAGACTCCGTTTTAAAACATAATCTCAGGGAACCGCTGATTTCTACGAGGTCTAACCACAAATAGGATTAAGGTAATTGTCATCAGAGTGGTACTTATAAATATTTTATTTAATTTGTCCGATCGACCTCAAATTCCAGTGTATAATTGGAAAACAAAGGCATGCTTATGAAATTGGTCTGTTATGGAGTAGCTTTTCGATAAGTCCCTTGTTTGACCATGTTCAAAACATACGATTGTAGCAAAACTTCCTAAATTTGCCCCGCAATGAGCACATCAAAAGACTGTCTCCCACAATGTTTTGTTTTGTTTTGTTTATTTGATTTTTCGACACAGATGGAGACTCTGACCTCAAATACTAAGACAGTTTGAGCCTGGATCAAATGACAGTTAAAATTATAAGGCAGCATTCGAGTCAACGTCAGAGATAGGTAGTCAAAATGCGCGGTTACGTTGCCCATCCAATAAGACAAGGCAATGCAATCGTTCTTCAGAGTCAAGATTGTCTATCGATGCGTAATGATAAAAATCAGCCAACATTTTGGCTGGATTATACTGGATTGCTTTAATTAAAAAGTATTTCTCGCAGTTCTTTACGCGGAAAGATATTTCCAAAGATATATTTATTATCACGCCCTTGAAGTGTGCATCATGCAGTCACGGTGTGGAATAATCTTTGGGCCAACTGCGTCTGCAAAAAACGTCGAGCGTTCATTTCGTCCGAGGAACCAAGTCTTTCGTAGATTTGAATAAGACAATTTTAGGGCATATTGATTGACGATTTTTGCCCCCTGATAAGTCATGAAAAATTTTCCGTTGCGCCCCCTTAAATGAATCTAATTTTCAGACAAAAATAGCTCCAACGCTATTACACATCCAGAAGTTTAAAGAAATATGTTTGAAGTTTGTCCGCCGCGTGGCTATTGAAATCGCGTGAAAGTTGTTTGAAATCGGCCGAACCATAGGTGTTTCCATTCAGTTCTGCCACTATTGTATTTTTTCTTGAATTCTATTCTCCTTTAAAATTACTAAAATGTATGAGAATTTAACGAACAACTAGCAGGCGATCTTTTACTGTATAAAAACAATAGCCTCCGTTTGGCGCAAATGTTATACGGATATTTGTCCGCGGACATCTGCTCTTATCTGTTCCGAGATGAAAACAGT